ACACATACAAATGGGACTACATCAAACTAAAAATAAATGTAAATAGAGAAGATGCAATTGGTAAAATAGACATTTCTTAATTTTATTACTCATTTAACTCAGAAATACAAATAAATGACAAATGTTTATTCCATGTATTTTAAGTTAAGATACTGATATTTACTTATCCTATATAATAAAAGCCTAATATGCTAAGTGTCCGGTCATCCAGTCATCCATTCAACCAATCAAAGTGTAATGTGCTAATTATATGCTAAGGCTGCTCAATCGCTCGCTATGATGTGCACTGACCACCAGGGAGCAGACGCTCTGACTGGTCGGTTAGCTTGCTGCTACCAGTCAATCAGGACTGGTTCAGCTGATCAGGACTGAGCAAGACGGGCCAGACATGCCCTGGAGCCCTCCCGCGGTCCCTCACCAGCTGGCCAATCCCCTGTGTCCCTCCCTGGCCCCAATCATGCACCAGTAGGGTCCCTCGGCCTGGCCTGTGTCCTCTCACAATCCAGGACCCCTCAGGGGGGCACATTGACTGTTAGGTAGTTCCATCTATCTATATCAGAGGTCCTCAAACTTTTTAAACAGGGGGCCAGTTCACTGTCCCTCAGACATTCCATACATGTGCACTGCAGGCCCAGAACGAGTCAGCTGCTAAGCAGGACAGGCAGCGGCAGCAAAAGCACCTGGCGGGCCAGATAAATGGTTCCCGTGGGCCGCATGTGGCCCGCGGGCTGTAGTTTGAGGACACCTGATCTATATAACAAAAGCCTAAGCAACCATTACAGCAGAACGACTGGAACAACCAGAACGACTGGTCACTATGATGCGCACTGATCACCAGGGGGCAGACGCTTAATACAGGAGCTGCCCCCTCGTGGTCAATGCGCTCCCACAGGGGGAGTGCTGCTCAGCCAGAAGCTGAGCTCACAGCTGGTGAGCACAGCGGTGGTGGCAGGAGCCTCTCCCACCTCCATGGCAGCACTAAGGAGCAGCAAGCTGAGCGGTCAGGAGCAAGCAGGGGGGTGGTAAGGAACAAGGGGTCCCGGAATGTGAGAGGGCGAAGGCCAGCCTGAGGGACCTCCCCCCGCACCTCCGCACCGCCCCCAGTACACAGATTTCATGCACCGGGTCTTTAGTTTAAAAATAACAAAGTGTATTACATGTTGCCATAATAATTTGTTTTATTATAGCTATATTTTCAAACAAACAATCATTGAGAAGGTGTTGTTTCACAATTTAATGCATGGCTTTAAAAAGATAGCTGGATCTCCTGTCTGCATCTGCGTTTACTTGGCTATGATGTCAGATGTCATGGAGCCTCTGTGAAACTCACTGTACACTTGTAAGAGATTAAGAGTTAAAAAGCAAATGTCTTGGTATTATAGTGAAAATTCCCAAAGACTTATTGACCTCACAAACCCTGCAAGGGAACCACCTTGAGAACTGCTGCCATAATATTATCCTACGGGTACCCAACCCACAGAGCTCTGTGGATTTTTCAACTTACTGATTTAAATAAATCTGATACTTTTGTAAAGTGATACTACTATTGCTGAGAGATTTTTTTCTTTTTCTTTTTTAAATAAGTCTTAGAATCCATGAGAGAAAGATTTGGATTTTATAGCTCCTATTACGCAAAAGTGAATTTTCTAGCTAGGATTATATACTATTCCATTTTCATTTTGCAAAGTGTTCCTGGGCACTGAATGCATAGAGTGCAACTTTGGGTCTCCCTCACAGGGTTTCCTAGGGCTTTGGCAGGTTAGGGTAGGACTGCCACCTTGAGTTCATAGTTAAGCCCTCACTTTTGCCTGCATTAGCTTCTGTCCACCAAGATTAGCACTGTTTCTGAAATGGAGTGTTTGCATGGCCATTCTTATGCTTCCAGAGAGCCAGTCGCATTGCACACAGGAGAGCTGGACGATCCCTCGAGCTGCTTCACATTCCCCTCTACAGGTGAGTTTCCAGTGAAAGCACTGGAACGGGCTGCTTACCCCCCTGCAGTGGCTCCGTTTCCACAAGGATACAGACTAACACTGCTACAGTAGCCTGTACATCCCTGTGAAGTCTCTGGTCTCATCCCTGCTCTCCCCCTTTTCCCACTCTGCTTCATCCATCCTTGAATTGTTCTTGAACATCCCAGGCAGCTTCTGGTCAGGGCCTTTCCACCACTGTCCCTCCACATTGCTAACCCCTCACCACCTTTGGAGCCTTTGCTCAAATGTCACTTTGTCAATGAGACTCTCACAATCTTATTTAAAAATATTACCCTCCCATACTCCTAGAGCCCCTTATTTTTTCTTTCATTAGCTTGCACATATTTTAATATGCTATATAACGGACTAATCTATGTTGTTCATTGTGTGTCAT